GGGCCGGACGCACCGGCTGGCGTACAAGCGAGGAGCGACGGAGATAAAGCAGCATCCGTTCTTTGAGGGCGTGAGCTGGGCATTGATAAGATGCGCGACTCCTCCCGAGATCCCTAAGCCAGTGGAGATTGAATTGGCGGCAGGGAGAGTTGCTTCGACGAGCGAGAAGGTTGGTGGTGGTGGTGGGACTGATCAGAATAGTTCAGATTGCTATCTTGAATTTGATTTCTTTTAGAGGTTTTCGCAGCAGGGGAGTGCAAGTTTCTGATTTATGTGTGGATGGGAGGGGTGAAGCCAATTGTTGAAATGTTGTGATGATGAATATGTTGTTTGGTAGGACTTGTTAGATTGGACTTGTGCTCCTCACTTAATGTTGAAATGTTTTAAATCCTTCTTATCATTGGTTTAATTTGCAGATAGAAAAAGTATTTTTTTGGTAATGATGTCATTCTCGAAAAATTAGTCCATCACTCTCGAGTCTGGTGGGCATGTGCCACATGGCAACTGGGCCCACCTCTCTTAAAAATCTATCAAACCAGTGTATTGTAGAGGGACCTACTTGCCACATGCTCACTCGACTCCAGATGCGAATATGCATCTGGTGTCCCGAGTTTGTCTGAATTTGAAAACAGAGTTATTATATTTTTGAGGATTTTGAACGCGGGGTAAGTTTGAACTTGATGGTTAATGTTTTAGCTTGTAAACAGTGCTGATTCTGATAGATATCTTCATTCGTTAAAAATGTGTTTTTTTAGCCTCGAATGGCTCTATAAATTCTATTTTTTTTCTTTTGGAATTTTCATCTCAGGAATAAATCATTTTGTACAAGATTTTCTGAATTGGATTGCATATTCAATTGAAAGAAGAGATTTAAAAGTTTTATTAGGGTTTAATTAAGACTAATTTAAACTATGAATAAACATTGCGATTGTTTAATAGAATTCAAATAATATAATAGTGCTATAATACCATTTATATCAATTCAGTATTTAATTATTTTAGATTAGGAGATTTCTCTCTTAATTATTTTTAAATTAATTTTAAATTAAAAAATCGAAACGCAGCATTTAAATTATTGTTATTTTTGTTTTTAGCCATCCAATTAAGCTAAAAAAATAACTAAGGTAACTCATCATATTGATTTCCCAATTTAGCAATCAATATTGATTGATTCGGTGTATAAATGTTTATGTAATTGACTTGAATTGGATAATTTTATTTGATTTTCAAAATCTTACTTTTGATCTAATCCGCTAAAGAAAATCATATGAGCTCTCAAATAACATTCATTGTCCAACTTAAAAATTAGGGAGGCAACAGAAGGCTTATATTACACTGGTCAAAGAAAGCTTACTTATTCGTCGTCGTTCACCAGCAGTAGCAACAACGAAAGTTTGAGCACCATAAGGCCTATGGAGGAGTTAATAGAGACTTCTCTTCAACTATGAGACTAAGATTGAAAGCACACTCTAACTATTAGTTTTTAAGATTGAAAGCCACCTTCTCAATCAAAGTTTCAAAAGTCTTAATTGAACTCGTCCTCAATAGGACTGAAGTTAGAGCCTTTTGTCTTGCTCATCATGAATGCAACCACATGTTGCTCCAACAACTATTGCTCGCACTACAAATCAAATTGCGCAATTGAATAATGAACTCCAACAAGGGCTTAGTAGGACCATGTCAGGCTAACAATGAGTCACTCATAGTGACATGGTCGTGCGCTCCCACAAAGCATTTCACAAACACATCCTCCAATTCAGCGAAGGTCTTGAACGAGCCGTCGAATAGATTGGCATACCAATCGAAAGTAAACTCTGCTAAATTGGTAATAAAGTGGTTGAGTTGAAATGCATCATTGTTGCCGATATTACAAAAAAAGTGCTCTAAATTGGGCTATGTGTTGGTGAGGATTGTCAAAAACCTTAAACCTTTTGAAATTAGGGGCAAAAATCCTGGTTGGTATGTAATATATTCGTACACCTCGGGATATGCTCAACCCCGTCGCATAAAGGTCTCACCCCGCTAGGCTGCCAATGCAGCCTTACCGTAGCATCAACCAGGGAATGCAGGAGTGAGTCAAAAGGTATGTGCTCATGCTAAGCAACATTATATGAAGTGGCATGAATATCTCAGAAAGGTGCTAGAGGCACAATAGGAGCGGTAGGACATGCCTCACCCTGAGTATGGGGAGAAACGACGTCAGACCCTACCCTCTCGCCTTGCAATTCTGCTATCTGAGCGACAAGGAGGACGATCTAAGCCTAAAGATGAGCAATGATATTATCTTTGCTCTGATCCCCTTAAGCAACTGTGGGACCACCATGGACTTCAATAATCTCATGATGATCATCCTCGATGGGATTAAGGACATGCCTCACCCTCAATATTCGAGCTCTGCCCTCTTGTGGTTTCAATCATGACCTGACCAGTAGCCATCTCAAAATCGTGGAGTTCTTCACCAAGAAGGTCATCCTCCTTGAGCAAATCCTTCAAAATGTCCAAGATGCATCCAAAAAAGTCATCGTCGTGAATATTAGAATAGCCCTCGGATAGGTCATCCTTAAGATTGATCCTGGGCTTCGCCTGGGGTCATTATGTAATGGCTCAGAGATACAATCTACTGAAGGGATGACCCGTTCCGGGATGGACTCAACAACATCCATAATCAAAGTAGGAGCCTCAACAAGAGAGGAGGCGGGGACCTTCCAGACCAATTGCCTTCTATGTCAATCAAGACGATATTTCTCCCTCAAATAGTTCTTTTGATACAATTAATGGAAATGTTTTTCGGGACATATCCCATAACTCCCCCATCAACAATACAAGTGATGACTCTGCCTCTACTCAAAGAAGAGAATGTAGAAGAAACATACGGATGCGAGTTGCGCCGCTACAACAACAGACTGAACAACAACAGGGATGAACTTCAATGCATTGGCATTGAGTGCCACACTGAGGGTTTCTAGAAACTTTCCAACAGGCTCAACATCATGCACAACGCAGGGTAAATACCTCAACTGAGCAGTGGATCGACGGGCTGAAGCCCATCTCTTGCTAAAGCAGCCTCGAGGGTGGGGGAAGTACAAAAGCTCTCTCATGACTCGCTTGGATGTCTCAAAGATCCAAGAGAGGAGCTTCTTATTAGAAATATGCTCTTTTCCTCTCAGAGAGGAGACGACCCCCATACTTCTTAGAAAGAAAGCATGTGGTAGCCTTGTCAATCTGAACAGCAGGCCTGGGGAGGCCTGCACCAGCACGAGGAGGGGAGCCCTCCTGGTAATTTTTGCGGGGATATAGTCCTCACAACTAGAGAGTACAATGAAAGGGTTCTCATAAAGGGGGATCTGGGACTCTAACTGAATTGAAATTGAAACAACAGTGTTCTCTGGGCTCTCTTACCCTATTTAGAAGTAGGATCAACCTCAAAGGAAAATGGGACCACAGGGATTGGGACCACAGTAGGGGAAACAACAACATCAGCAGTGGTATCAGAAGGCTAACTTGCAAGAGGCAAGGAAATCTGTGAAAACACAGAAAGATGGCCCAACAAACTAGAAAAGACTGACGGGCACTGTGCTATTGCCATCAACATTAACCTTTTCTTCGGAGAAGCAACTGGCTCGATGTGAGACACTATAGCAAGAGTGACTTTGTGGGCACGCCTCTCTTTTTTAGGGAGAGGGCACAGAGCATAAGCCTCAGAAGGCTTAGGATTACCCAAGGTAATCCTGACAGGGTGCTCAAAGGAACCGAATGTTAGTGTACCTTCGAGAGCATAGAAGACACAGGGAGAAGGAGATAGAGCTCCCCCCAATAGTAACGATCGTAACAACTCTCTAGCTCTCTATGTCTACCAAGCAAAAAGAGACAAATATCAACAAAAATGAATATGTCGATAAAAAACCAATCACAAAAGGACAATACAACAAAACTGATGCATGCTGCTATGCAGTGATTGAAATGCAGAGAGTGAGAAAGCGAGACAGAATATGTTAAGCTGCTAACCATAACAACTGACACACTGACTAAAAACCAATTTCTCATAAAAAGCTCAACAAGTGACTAAAAGAAAAAAAAATTAAGTCTCGATAATATGAGCTAAACTCCAAATACGAAGAGAGAGAGAGAGAGAGACTATAACCCTAGAACAAAAGAGAACTCCTAATATTGAGAGAGATACTTATCCCCAGCGGAGTCGCCAGACTTATTTTCTTAGTTTTTTTAAGACTCGAAGCCGTCAGCTTATTTATTTTTATGTTATCGTATAATTCTCTTATTCAAATAAATCACTCCTTTTCGAATCATTGATATGACACAGAATGGAGATTTATTCAAGTAAGAGAATTATATGACGACATATAAATAAACAAGTCGATGACTTCAAATCTGAAAAAGAATCGAGAAAACAATGAGATCTATTCTTATAAGTAATAATATGCTCATATTTTTTTTTTCTAAATAAAGTATTACCAATAACAAAATCATAAGCTAAAGCAGACTATAACATGGTTCTACCATCTTCATAATCACTCCAAAGTCATAGCCACCATAAATTGTTATAAAAATCTTCTACAACTCTACCAACATGTTCATTTAAATCTTCTCAAATAAATTTTTTTTTTAAGAGGTATCAATTATATTAATTATTCTAGGTCATTCAAAAATTTGTTTTTTGAACTATATCTAAACTTACTTGAGGAGCATAAGTACTCATAACTTTAAAAATTATAGTATCAACATCATTCATGATTTTATCTCTAATTCTATTAATTTGCACAAAATTAGCTTTTAAAATCTTATCTAAAATTACACCTACATCATTTCTAATGTGACTCCTACCTAAAAACTAAAGTTTAAAACCTGAATTATCAATCTTTTTAATCTTTTCTTCAACCCATTTAGTTTCTTGAATGCATAAGATATTTATCTTATTAAGAATTATAATATTTATTAATTTCATTAATTTACACCGGTGAGAGTACATATATTTCAAGATCATATTATAATATTAGTTTCATGGACTAATTTATTTGCCCACATCAGTCCATAATGTGAAAACTCTTGTTTACTAGCACTGTTTTAGGGTGTCGGTGTAACGGCCTTTGCATACATTTTATTGTCTTTAGATAATATAATGTGCCACTTTCTGGGGACACCCTAACATTTACACAATAATTTATAAGGATTCATGTCATAATTTTTCCAACAAAAAAATTACGCAGGCCATCGGTTACCTAACATAACCCTCAACTCTTAGCATCCGAGGCTTTGGACCTGATAATGAAGTGTTAATCTATATACAACACAGAAGAAAATTACAGTATAAGTTTGGCAATAATTAAATTCTAACGAGCTCTCATCCCTCAAGGCAAAGGCAAAATTTAGGATTTAATATATTATCTTAGAAAACAGAATTTAGGATTTAAAGAGTATCATCTCATTTGATAACTTGTACATTAACTCTAAGGATTTTAAGACATGGGAAATGAAGAATGGAAACAAAATTTTCAAAAAAAAAAAAAAAAAAAAAAAAAAAAAAAAAAAACAAGAAACATATTACCGATAACTTCTTTTACACACTTTTTTGAGACATATTTAAACTAATTAAGAAAATAATTATGCTAATGAGTGCGTCACTTACTTTGTTAGATGAGAAATCAAACAAAAATTTTTCTGTGCGGACTCCTGACGTAGCTCTATGTGCGGCTGAAGTTATTTCTGATTTATTTTCAGATTATTTCTAAGTTATTTTCAATAATACTGAAATAACTCAGAAATAACCCAAAAATAAAGACCGCAGGTTAGTTCTGGTTTATTTCAGGATTATTAATTTCTGGTTTATTTCAGGATTATTAAAAATAACCCAAAAATAACCTAATAACCTACGCCGCACATAGAGCTACGTCAGGAGTCCGGACAGAAAATGCGCTCGCAATCATGTGGTAAATTAAAGTTCTAAGAAATTTAAGTAGATTGAAAGTGACTAACTCACATCAATATTGGATTGAAAGAATATATAAAAGTTCGTCTAGCTCAAATCAAATGCACCAACTTTGTGCGAATAGCATCGATCAAAACTACAAAACGTATTGCATCCAGTCAAATAGACAGTTTTGCATTAGTCCTGATTTGTCAGCAATATTGAGTGCGAATAGTCCAGAAAAGTGGATAAGATGTTCGTTATTTGTGACGATCAAACTTCAGAACCTCGACGTTCACTACATTATCATATTCATAGTTGTCTATATTTTTTTCTCCGTCAGAGCCTAGGAAGAATCATTTCGGATCTACAGAATATCGCCAGACAAAAAAAACTATGCTTTCATCCGACTTTGAGCATCCAAGCTCACTTTCTCAAATGAATCTTTTATCTATGTTTCAATCAATGCCAAGTAATGAAGCAAAATTCTATAGAAACTATTTCTGAAGAGACTGTCATTAGGTATAAAGTAGAGATGCAGCTGTGGTGGTTTTTTTATCTCAATAATTACAACCGGGAATCCTTCCCTGTCTAGATTCGCCATTCTGTCAAAGGAATTACATGGTTGCTCCAATTCGGGTAAATCAAAGTTTTCTTGTCTACCGATCTTCTGCGGATTTAGAATAATTCTTACTACAAATCAGAAAAAATAGTAAGGATAACTATGAAAATGACCATGTAGGTAGTGTCAAGGTTATGAATTTTGATCCTCACAGGCAACAAACATCTGATCCACCTTGTTGGATTTCTATGTCCAACTTTGGTAATTTCTCAAATTTTATAGTCTCAAACAATTCTTTTTCAAGCTATTTGACAATAAACCAGAAATTAAGCGAAACTTTGTATACTTAACTGGACGGAATATCTCACGAAACCGACCTGTTTGATTTGAGCCAGGCAAAATTACATAGATTGGCAAACTTACATAGATTCTTTCCAATCAATTTTGATGTGAGTTGGCCACTTCCAGTCTAGTTAGCGTGGTCTGAATTCGTTTATCACATGATTGCTCTCCCATGTAAGCAAGTGACACTCTCATTAACAAAATTAACTTCTTTTTCTTAATTGGTTGAATTATGTCATGAAAATATGTACAAAATGATACATGTATGACATTTATTGTATCTCATTTTGAATATTTTGTTTTCATTCCTCGTTTCCAATGTCAAAACATTTTTGGAGTTCATGTACAAGTTATCATATAAGTTGACACTTTTTAAATAATTAATTATTTTTTATAAGATGGTGTATTTAAATCCTAAATTCTATTTTTGTCTAGATGATTCAGAGATCGTTAGAGTTATATTATTGTCAAACTTACGCCATAATTTTCTTCTGTGCTTTATACAGGTCACTTGGATCTTTCAAGGGCTGCTCTTTTCACCCTGACGCAAAGGAGCCAACTGGTTCAGAGTCTGCTCTCGTTAAGGTGATTGATGAACAAGCTGCAACGGAAGCAGAATTAGTAAGTCGTTAAATTCATGCCAATTTAGCTCAACTTAAACTTTATTCAAGCAAAATAAATGAAAGACAAAATCTGTTTCAAGCAAAAAAATGTGCTGAAAGATGACCAATAATTGAATTGAATCTATCTTTAAGTCCAGCTAAATATAGAGCAACCTATTTGAAATCTATTATGAATAACGGTACTGAACTGTATATCTTCACGATATCAGATCAAACCATGAATAGACAACATTTAGTCCCAGCAGTAGTAGATTAAAAAAATCTATGATATAGGTAAATATTTATGGCATTTCTGCTCTAACAATTTATTTTCCTTTCTAATGGAGTCCAAATCAGCTTGGAGTTTGGCAATGTCAAGGTAACGGGAGGAGAAAGCTGCGATCTTTTGCTCCAGACATGCTGCTTCTCTTTGAGCCCTATCAGTGGCGAGAATTGTGTCTGCTATCTGTAGGAAGTTGTCATGAATGCTGGTGAGGAGCCGATAGGCTTGCCGACCCACTGCATCTTTCTTTGCTTCCCTGGAGAGTTATATGATCAGATGGGATGCTGAAATATATCTCAACAAGAACAAGTAAAGTTGAAACAAAAGAAATTTTCGGGACATGGTTTAGCGCTTTGTTTTCATGCAATCAAATGGGACAAAGGAGGGAATGGTTGCGGACTTCATTGTTAAAAGAGCAGCATGATTAAGAGTTCGCGGTCATAGAGTGATAGGTTAATGTTTTAGCACATACAGATTAAAAAAAAGATTGAAGGAGAGAAAATAATAAAGATTTTACGTAGAAAACCTAAAAAGAAAAAAAACTTACGGGCCTCGCCCTATCAGAATTTCCACTATGAGAGATTGTTTGGTTTGTTGAAAATGAAAATGCATAGTATCTTGATTTCAGTGTATTATGTATATTCATAAGTTATTTGGTTGTTTGTAAAACAAAATAATTTTTTTTCTATTTGGTTAGGTGCATATAGAATAAAATAAAGGGAGTGTATTTTGAATACTCCTTAGCTGTTTGGTTATCTATAAATGAAATGCAGAATATTTATTTTTTTTGTTAACTAGTTATATATTCATATAATTTTATAGGGTTACATATTCAATATTTAAATACTCATTTTATTTATATATTATTTTATAATAAACAAACACACACACACACACACACATTAGTATTAGTTATTTTTTTATATAATTTTAAAATTAAAGTGCTAAATAAATAATAAATTTCACTTAAATTACAAGTTGATTAATAGTTCATATATTAAATTAATCTTAAAATAAATTTAAAATTAAATCAAAATTTGATAATAATGTGCATTGTTCCAACTCAAAATATTTGATACTATCTTTGTTCCTATGCAATTGTTCATATACGCGTTATAATACTCGTAAAAAAGCTATAAAAATATTTATTTTACAAACAACTATTTAACTATATATATAATGGCACAAGCCTTAAAGTCCAAAAATAAATGGGCAGCTAATATGTTAAAAAAATATATAGGATCAAACACAAATCTCAAAGCATGTTAGATAAAAATTTTCTAGCGTAAATTCATAATCATTCATGCTCCGATTTTACCAACTTTATAGCCAAATTAAACATCTTAACAATAAAAAATCTGATGACACAAAAACCAATTTGATTCCAACTCAAATGAGTTCGCATCAAGTACTTGAATTATGATTGTAAGTTTTTAAGCATTAATTGAAATTAAAAAAGATTTCTAAATTTAGCATGATTACAATTAAATCAAGCAGCTAAATAAGAGAAATCCAACGAACCTAAAATCATTTACGTTTGAAGTCATTAAGACACATAAATACAGAAAGAGCAACCTATGATCGAATGATTCAACACAAATAGTTTGATGAAGTGTTTTGTGATTTAAGCTAAATTTACAAAAACATCTTTTTAAAAATTATAAATAGACCCTCATTCTTCATTAAAAAAAAAGGAAATTGAAAATTGAGCTCAAAGTTATGATGAACGCTCAAAATCAATGACCATCAGCGATCTTTACTAACAACAACTAATAAATGTTGCAGCCCACCTATGGTCATAAGTTTATTGTAGCCCAACCATTGTTGCTTGATTTTTGTAACTCCATCAAAACTCCGTAACCCCGTATTTTTCATTCAGAAAAATAGATCTTATGATGCACGGACATTTCTAATTAAGAAACAATACAATGTTAGTGTAGTGTCGAACATGGACATACCTCCAACACAACTCCAACATGTGTCAGACACAACATAGAATTGTCTAATTTAAATATTAATTTAAAGAGAGGGCATGTACCCTAAATTAATGAATTAAAAATGTCTACAAATATTTGATGATTAAAAAAAAGTATTTTATTTTTAGGGCTTTAACATACACAACACCTAAAACTTTCACATTTACCGATCTCACGCCAAAAGTTTCATAATTAAAAATCCCATATGAAAACTGACACTCATTATCATCTTTTAATAGTCAAATCCATTTTTTCATCCATAGATAGAATGTTGTGTTTATGAAAATGAAAGTTTAGATGTGAGATAGGTAAATCCATAAGAATTGGGTGCTATGAATGTAATTTTCCCTTTAATTTTTATTAAAACATTAAAATTATTTTGGTGTGATATAAAATAGTTAAAGTTTATTTTTTTCTATCATAAACTAAAGAATATCTATAAATCTCTAAGCTTTTGAAAGTTAATGTTATTAAATTTCTTACTATCTTTTGTTTATTACCCATAAAGTTCTCTTTATTTAACTTTTATCTATTTTTTTATAATATATATTAGAAAGATTTACGTTCATACCACACAATTCTTAAGTATTTACATATATAATACATAAAATTCAACTTTTACATATATGAGGCATTGCTTATGTATGAAAAAGGTGTATTTCACTTTTTAAAATTTAAAATGATGGTATTTTTGATGTGATATGAAAGAGTTTGATGGAATATTTGTAAAAAATAAAGTTTGGATGTTAGTTATGTAAATACATAAGAATTGGGTGGCTAATTTGTAAATGAACCTTTATAGTATAATAGTGTGTCTGACACATGTTTATATCCTATATTTTATAAAAATACAATTATCATGTGTCTGTGTTGAGTCGTGTTTGTACCCCTGTGTTCGTATTCATGCATCATAGAGTGGATCTTTGCAAATTCAAATAGATAATGGATAATTTTGATTGGATCAAGCCCCATAGTTGTTACCTTTTCCAAGTTTTTGTGTAAAATCTCCAGAACCTCATCTTTCAACATTTCTATTATTTGTGTGTGAGTTGCATCATCATATAATGCTAGGGCATTAATCCATTACACTATCACCGCAGACTTTCAGGTAGGTTAGCCATGACTCTAGAATTTCATGATCCATACTATAACTTCATGGCTTCCTAGGCGTGGGATGTGCTACTAACAAACAGAGTAAAAGTTCAGCTGCTGAAATTGAAATAATGAAGAAACAAAAGACGACGTATCATATGAGATCAAAGTTGGGACTAATAGACTAGATGTCACTCATTTTCAAGTAAAAAACTAAAAATAAATTAAAAAAAAAATTAAATCTATCGATGCCAGTACTTCTATGTCAAAATATTTTTCTGCAATCCAATATAGGATAAAACCTAAACTCGTTTATTTATTTTATTTTTATTTTTATTTTTATTTTTAAAGGAAACATAATACTCGCTTACACATTAACAAAACTGATATCATCATCATGAGGTTTATGATGCCAATAAAACAACTGAAAATTTTGATGATTTGAAAATTTCAGGCGCTAAAGAACCAAAAATTTGAATATGGTAATCTAGCAAGGATTTGTAATTTGTGACCCAACTTATTAGATTTTCAAATACCACTGAGAATTGATGAATAATATAAAGAGGAAAGAATAACAACAACAACAAGCCTTTATCCCACTAAATATAAAGAGGAGAGAATTGAAAAAAAAAAAACTTTCTCAATAATTCAACTAAGTTTGGTGGATGAGGTATTGAAATTGTTCTCTAAGAAAACAATCATGAGGGAATGAGGCTTAATCCACTGTCAAGGATGTGAGGAATATAGACTTGATGGTTGATAATTAAGATCAATCTTTAATAAAATTGTGCTTTTAATTCAATATTATAAAATTTAATGAGCCCATCAAGGAATCAACACCCCACAGTTTGAAAAACTGACAATGTCTTTTTACAGCATTGCCACTTCAGTAAGGATTTGAATTCCGTGAAGCATTATCAAGCAAAAAACTGATAGTCTGTCGGGATGTTGGAAAAAATAAATTGAATATCAACAAAAGTTGTTCTTTTTTATCTGATTAATATTCCATTTCTCACATTTCACTCTACTACAAATGTTTCAATAAAAACCCATTAAAACCTGCCCTTACGTACAACATGTAACAGTTCAGTTTGTTACAGGGGGATATAGGAAATGAAAGGAGGGAGAGGAATCGAAAAAAAAGAAAACGAGACCTCGAACAGCCAGAACGCTGGAGAGGGAGATGAAGCAAGAGAGTCAGAAAGCTGAAGAGTTATTTTCCTGTATAAATCCATGAGTCGAACAACAATTGCGCTAATTGGTTGAGAGACAATTTTGATGGGAGATCTCAGCGTCACTGTCGAGCTGAAGAGAGGAAAGAGCGGCTCACAACCTTCGGTACAGAATGAGGAGAGCCGTGCCTAGCCAACCAGCAAAGAGGAGAAGGAGAGAAGGAAGCTTCATAGAGGAGGAAGAAGAGTTGAGCTCGTGCGCTGTTGAGCAGGTGAGGAAGCTCGAAAAGAAGAAGGCTCGTGCAAGGGAGCCAAAGAGAAGCTCTCAGTTCGACCGAGGTAATGTTATTAAATCAATTTAATATTAAAACTTAATAATAATAAGATATATATATATATACATAATAAAAAATAAGAGGGAAAGTTTAATAATTAATTAATTAATAAAAATATAATATTTTATTAAAATAATAAATTAAATAGCATGTTTATGATTAAGTTTCTAATTTAGAAGAGTCGACGTCAAAAACAAGCAGATTATCTATCAATTAGGTTGAATCCTCATATTCTCATTCTTTAGTAATATTTTGTTTCTTCTAGATCAAATGCATTCACCGATATTATCATTAGTTATATTGAAAATACTGCAAACTTAGGATTTTGAATTCTAGAAAATTTTTGTTCATTTTGTTGAATGATATGTGTGCACATCATTATTAAATGATTTGATTGTTATACAAATGAGAAATTAATATTTTTTTAATTAAAAAGTGATATCTTTTATTGGATGGTTGTATGTGCATGATTGACTATGATAGAGTCACCCATTGATGATACTAGTGAGAGAACACTACGGTACTCGTGCATCTATATAAAAAATGATATTAATATTAATGTATTATAATGAACATAATTTTTAGACAGTACTCATATGATGGTTGCCTAAATACGAAATTTATTTTTATTGATTTATTAAAATGTTAACTGGCATGCATAATAGTTTTTTTCTCCCTTTTATTATTATAATTTATGAGTATGAATATTCGACGGCTTATTTAACTCATTATTTTTAAACCAACTTTTAATTTAATATATTAAAAGATGTGTGATAGAAGAAGAAATGTTTATAAAATATGCGGGCAGCGAGTAATGACGTAATTTTGAATATATTGTTTTAATTTATTTCCATTAGTAGTTTTTTCATCTGTTAAATAGTAAATGAATATAAAAAATTTAATTCACATCGTCCAATCGTATATTTTTATCTTTCCACGCCTCGAGCCAAGTCATGACAAAAGTGATATCAGAGCATAAGGTTCAAGATTAGTTAATGAAATCTAACTGAAACCGTCAATAGGGCAATTATAAAAAAAATTAAAAATAACTAAATATATTAATTAAATTAAAAAAATTAAAATTAACTCAAATTAATAATTATATTCATTCAGGCATAGAGATATATCAAAAATTAAAGGAGAAGGGAACCTGCTAGAAAATTTTTGGATAGATCATGTTGACCTGCTAAGGAGAAATGACTTGAAGTTTGTTTATAAATTTCATGGAATCCAAGGAGGGAGAGGATATATGAAATGAAACGAGGAAGAGGAAGAGGAATCCAAGGAGAATAAAAAAGGACTCAAGCAGTCGGGACACCAGAGAGGGAGGTGAAGCAAGAGGCTCGGGAAGCCAAAGATTTACTTTTGTGTATAAATACCACGCGTAAGGGTTGGGGGGGGGGGGGGGGGGAGGAGGGGAACTGGCAAAGCGGAGAGGGGCAATGGAGAGTCGAACAATAGTTGTTTATGCTACTAGGTTGAGACACAATCTTTACGGGAGCTCTCGGCATCGGTGTCAAGTGGAAGAGAGGAAAGAGCGGCTCACTCACAACATTCGGTGCAGAAGGAGAGTCATGCCTACCCAACCAGCAAAGAAGAGACGGAAATGAAAAAGCATCGTAGAGGAGGAAGAAGAGCATAGCTCGTGCACTGTTGAGCAGGCGAGGAAGCTCGGGAGGAAGAAGGAAGAGAAACTCTGGAGCAATCTAGCTCGCAAATGAGTTCTACGCCTGATTCAACCAAATTAAATTTATTAAATCGATTTAATATTAAAATGTAGCAATAATATATATATAAAGAGATTAGATAAAGTAAATTTAATACTTAATTAATATAAAGATAATTATTTATTGAAATAATAAATTAAATATCATGTTTATGATTAGGTTTCTAACTTTGAAGGGTTGACATCAAGAGCAAGCGGATTGTCTATCAATAAGATGAGTACTCATATTCTTATTATATTGGTAATTTTATTTTTTTCAGGACCAAATGCATTCATCGATATTATTATCAGTTACATTGAAATTATTGCAAATTCTGGATTTTAAATTCTAGTAATTTTTGTTCATATTGCATGAATGATATATGTGCACATCATCATTGAATGATTGAACTGTTATGTGCATGATTAACTATAATGATGTTTGAGCACGCATATCTATAATTGAGTCATGTCTTGATTATACTAGTGAGAGGAACACTAAGGTACTCGTGCACGTATATGAAAAATGATATTAATATTGATATGTCGTGATTGACATAATTTTTGAACGGTACACATGTGACCATTATATAAATAAGAAATTATATTGATATGTTACTGATATAACAAGACTCTTTGAACAGATATTAATATTGATTTATTAAAAAGTTTAACTGACATGCATATTACTTCTTACTCCCTTGTATTATAATAGTTTATGAGTACGAGTATTCACCGACTTGTTTAACTCACTATTTTTTTTAAATCGAATTTTCAGGTAATTTAATTGATTAAAAGATGAAAGATAGAAAATGAAACGTTTATAGAATATGCGGGCAACTAGTAATAAAATAATTTTAAATATATTATTTTTATTTATTTTGATTAGGGGCTTTTTCATCTGTTAAATAATAACTAAATATAAAAAATTTAATTCACATCGTCCGACCGTCTGTTCTAGTCATGGTTAATTCCAAGCTCTGAGGCGGGTCGTGACACAACAACCTACTAAAGAAAACAATCTTCAATTCAAAAATAGATTTTTATTGGAAGACCTACATACATACCACTTAATTTCTATGGATTTGCATATCTAACACCTAAAACTTTTACAAATGTTTGCCACCTTAACCATGCACAAAAAGAGATATTTCATTTTTTAAAAGTTAAAATAATGGTATTTTTCATGTAATATGAAAGATTTTAGGTGGTATCAATGTAAAAATCAAAATTTAGGTGTCATATATGTGAATATAAAGGAATTGGGTGGTATGTATGGAAACACCCCATTATTATTTCACTTGTCAAAAGAAGATTCATTAAAGATCAACTAGTACTACGAGGAAACTATACCACCAAAAGGACAAACTCCATACCTGAAGACAATTTCTTCAACTACTGCATATGTCCTATTAAGTCGTTCTTGTATTGAGTTACTCTCTAGTTGAAGCTCCCGTGTCTCCTTCAAGATTTGTATGACATCAGCATCGAGTTTCCGGCTGTTCTTTGTAATCTCAGTTATGCGATCGACGTATGATTTTCTGAAAGGAAGTTTGGGCTGCTGCTCAAGCTCTATAAGAAGATCCAGATGTTCTGCCTCTCTAACATAGACAAGTAAATAATAATATATAAATAAAAAAGGAGAATTTAAAAAAAACTGTTATGATGCTGGGTTTAACATCTATACATATAATCACCAATTAAAAAAGAGAAAAAAAAGATACAAATTGATATCAAATGCACAAACAAATCAGCACAAAATCATGCAGAATCATTAACAAATCTTGAGATAGTATACTATTTTTAATGCCATATAAGATCACTCAAATAAGGATATTCAAAATCTGTGTGGTGTAACATTTATTGTGTGCTGCTATATTTTTTTCATCTATATGAATATTTTTTCTCTTTTGATTATATCCAAAAATGCATTGCTTTTGATTCATTTTAGTATTATTTTAACAGTTTTCACCTATGAAAAAGTTGGCCTAACCACTTTGCCATCTAGTCCTCACATCAATATTTGCTCCTAACCTAAAAAAAGAAACAATTTTAAATAGGAGTTCAATTGTCAAAAAAAAAAAAAAAAAAAAAAAAAAGAACTACAAATTATAAGATGAGAAGGACAGATATAAAAAATTAACTTAAAGACACAAGTCCACTTCTTAAAGGAAAGATAAAGCAGAATAGCTAAATTATGATAATAATCCAGACATTGTTAAGTAAAAAAGAACATAAATGACTTTTCCGTTCAGAATCTTGTTCATAGCTGAAATCCAATAAACTTCAGTTTATCAAGTATCACAACCTGCAAAATATTGAGCATCTTTTTCTGTAAGTGCTTAAGAAGCATAACCATTAGAGTGAATAAGCTACGTTATGTTTTTCAATTTTTTTCTTTCTCCTTGATAAAATCTAATACTAAAAAAGATTATAAGGAAATGTTATGAATGAGCTTCACCGCTTCGAAATTTCAGCCAATGTGGCTTCTATTTCTTGCTCAATTTCTTTCAACTGGATAAGCTTTTCTTTTTCTTCCGGTTGCTCAGAGTTAAATGTCTGCTCAAGCTTCATTCTTTCTTCTTCTAGTAAGTGTTCAGGAATATTTCTGCAACATAGAAACTTGAGTTCAACTCTCTCTGCCATTCATTAATGAATTAAAACGCTGTAGCTGGAAAAGTGACATAAGAACAGTATGACAATAACCAAAACAACAGAATGGAAAAAATTCATATAATGATCAACGATAATATTTTGGAAGATTTACATAAATACGACTCAATTCCAATGTACTTACATATCTAACACCTAAACTTCTGCCAGCCTATATGTGCATAACAAGATGTATTAAACTTTTTGAAAGTTAAAATAGTGGTATTTTTTATGTGAGGTGAATGATTTGAGTGGTATAAATAAGGTAAAGTTTAGGTGTTAGATATGTAAATACATAAGAATTGGGTGGTACTTATGTAAATGCCCCTAATATTTTTTTTACAAATTCAATAAACAATTAAACTCATTTTCATAATCTACGCATTCTTACTATAGCAATCAAAGTTCAAATATGGCACATATATGTGGGCTCCAAAAATTCAATGCCCCCAACTTCCCTTGAAAGATGAATGAGACTAAAGAATTTACTATGAAGTTCTGGCTCAAATCTTCAGAAGACAGATGAAATTGTAGATATGACACTACCCAGAGATTTCACTCTAATATTATAAGAACTTTAAGATCTGAAAATCAAGATTTTTCATAGGCACAAGCCCCTATAGTTAATTAAATCTCTCAATAATGGGAGAGCACGTTCAATTTAGGGCCCGTTTGGGGCAGCATATAAGTGCGGGCGGCGTTTTGAAAACGCCGCCTTGCTGTTTGTTTCACACTTATTAACAGATTATCCTAAACTTTGTTTTATAATTTGTAAAAGACGCGAACCGCGGGTCAACTCCTGCAGTCCGCGTTTTCGGTCTAATAAATACTCCCGTGACCCTGCTTGGCATCCCGTGGCCCTGCTGCTCTCATACGCATCCTCGTTCTCCGAAACTCGATGGAGGTCTAGTACTTCGATCATGGAGGTCGAAAGGATCACCGGCGGAGGAAGTGAAGGAGACGCGAGACGGTGGGACGAAGAAGGCTATCGTCGTAGCATTCTTGTCGAGAGGGAGCTTAGCTCTTGCATTGTCTTCAGGACTGCTTTTGCTCCCTCCGAAAACCCTAATCCTGAAATCGTGCTGGTGGCATCTAGCGACGGATCTCTGTCCGCCTATTCAATTGCGTCCTGCATCTCCTCCTGTCTACGGGTAAGAGTTATTTCTATATTCGTGATTTTTCATTGCCCTAAACAGTTTGGAGAGGAAGAACGTGGTGCTTCAAATTGCTTATGGGCTATGTCGTTTCACATATGCATCTTTATAGTTGCAAACCTGTGGCTTTATTCTCTCCCTCAATTTCTTTGTATCTTTTTTTGTCTTTCTCTCCCTCTCCCCTATCTCCCTGCGTTATGGTGTTGCATGTGCATGGGAAGAATGCAATGAAAGGTTGATTTGAATCATTTGGGGAGAAAATGAACAAGTGTATGCTACTTTGTTGTGATTTATATTAGATTCTTTTATGATTTTGTGAGGTGAGAAAGTTGTCTTTGCAAATGATTTAACATAAAAACATAGGAATTTGACGATTATTTGGGTAGGATTGAGAATATATGTTTCACAAAACGCACGAACAAACAACTCAACAGCTTATCCAGAACAGGAGCAGATTATTCATTTCTCCAGAATCAGTTGTTCTAAAAAAAATAATAACCAAACAGTCAGACAGATCATCCGGATCAGCTGTCTATCAGCAAATTATCAGGATAAACTGCTTATCAGCAGAAGCTGAATAAGCTGCAGCTGCCCCAAACATACCCTAAGGCTAATCATTAGGCACTAATTACTTGAACTTAGTATATAGTAGCAACAAATTTAGGACTTTAAAATTACGAAATTATTATCGTTGACTTAGAGCGGAAGGTGAGGGGAATGGTTACGAACTCGATCAAGATCTCATATTTTCTTCATTCTGAGTTGTCATGATTCTTGGCCTACTTAGTAAGAGAAGGTGGTTGACCCAACCTGACAGAAATATCCTTACTTGTTTCGTTCAAAGGAATCTTATATAAACTTGGGATAGATATTTGTCTAATGGAACTAAATTAAGTCGATCTTAGCTTATAGAATGCTTAGTGTCCTTATAAGGTATATTCTATCATTCACAACTCAAAGATGCATAATAGAGTTAGAGAGCATATGAGTTACATTAATGACCATAATATAATAAGGGTAAACAAATTTTATACGTAAAAGATTCCCTTAGATTTTATCCTTATTAGCCATTACTAATAATAAATTTTATATGTAAAAGGATAAAAAAAATTTTATATACTGTAAAAATAACTTTTAATTTTATAATTTAAATTTTATACATCAATCCAATAATTTGTAAGCATTGTTTGATAATTTTTTGTATTAATCTGTCTATAGATCATTCCAATTTTATTAACTAATGTAACTAAGGACCTATTTGGTCTCAAGGACCATCCTAGGGTTAATCCATGTGTCTCATAGGATAGTCCCATGCTAATTGTGATCATTGTAGGCCTTAAGAGTTATCGATCTAATTTGATCACATGTGGTCATCTCAATTCATTGTCGTGCTCAAAATAATATTTTGTATAATTAATAATTTACATTAATAAATCTCTCAGCAGTCATTACTTCTTTCAAATGAATTTTTTTGTTGGATCATCATAATTATCACACACACACACACACACACACACACACACATATCTATGTGTGTGTGTGTGTGATAATATAAGTGGCTTGCAATCAATCACATAAATAATGTTTTAAACATAAAATAAATTCATATTAGTTTTTCAAGTTAACTTTAACTATTTCAAAACACATTCTCTAATAAATAATATTAAAATAAAGAATTCAATTGAAATCGAGTGATTCTTATAATTTTAAATTGAGTGAGCTCTTATTGTATAATTATTAATTATCTTAACATTTTTCATTTGAAAAAATAGTGATGGTTGTTTTGAAGATATTTATTAATGCAAATTAAAAATTATAATTCTTCAACAATAAAAAAAAGTTTTATATACAAACCACATAAATTTTGAATAATTACATAAAAATGAAAATACTCTTCAATTCATGCAGGCCGCCGTTAAATTTAAAGAGATATGATTTGGGATCAATTTGGAGCAACTATGAACAGTCTGGGACTAAATTGGAGCATTCTGAATCTTTATGACTAAATTGAGCATTTCTTAATAATTGAGGGGATTGTTTTGGGATCTACATCCGTTCACTTCTAAAACTTTATGTTCAAACTTCTAAAACATAAACGTTCAGACTTTATTTTAGTCCAAACTTAATAAATTTTATAGGATTTTTTTATTATTTGCACGGATGTATTATTATTGAAATATGTGCAAACATTTTATTTAAAGTCTTTAAAGGCTCCTATTCACTAGTGCCTGTGTTGCGGACAGTGGAAAAAGTTGTATTTTATTAGGAATAAAGTTGAGATTATGAAATGAAATATTTATTTTAAATTTGAAATTAAACTTTGCAAGTAATTATTTAAATTAAAGTATAAATTAATTAGATCTTGGATAAAATTTAATGTAAGTTATATATATTGATAATAGTGATATTAATAGTGAAATTAAACTGACATGAATACTTAAAATGAAGGATTTCAATCAATAATTAAAATAACATAATTAATTAAAAGATTAGTTAAGCATAATTAAATATATGTTTAAAAATTATTTTTTTATGATATTATAGGCATCAAATTATAGGAGCTGAAGTTTAAAGATGTAAGAAGGTTAAAAGCAAGCCAACTGAATCAAGTGAGTACTTTAATTTCTAGATTATGGTAATATCAAAGACATTTGATGATTAGACTAATATTTTCTATGTAATTTTGATTTAATCGAGATAGTAAATTTATTGATCATAAAAAAAATGTATGTCTTACATATTAATTGTACAAACTGACTATAATAGAAAGATATTGGCTGATATATATATAATGTGAATAAAATAAATACTATGATAAGCTTGCAGGTGGATGGTTGGCTAGCTAATAGTCACCCCTTGTGATCCTAGCTAAAGGAGCTAAGATGTTCATGCATGTATTTTAGAAAATGTTATCGATATTAAAGAACTTTACTTCGTACAATTTAGATGGTGCTCCGTGATGAATATTATATAAAAAACATAAATAATATATAATATAACTATTTGAATTATTTGAATAATTCATACAATCATACTTGAATGGTTAAATAGTTTGATACTGACTTTGTGAATTTTAACTAGTATGCACACTGCATCTTTTGCCCATTTATATTAATGTATTTTAAGAAATATGAGTATCTCATGAGCTTATTTATAACTTTCTTTGATAAACTAACATTTTTAAGTTTAAACTTTTGATTAAAAGATAAGTGACCAAAGAAAAGATATTTGTAGAAGGCCCAACCAAGCTAGAAGAATGTAATATGATCATAATTATTTTACTGATAGATTTATTAAATTGTTAGAGGCTCTTTCATTTTGGATTATTCTATTGATTAGTTAATGATAGTATTAGAAATTAAAATTTTAATTTCACCCTCCGATCGTCCGTTCCTGACTTTAAAGTTCTAAGCCCTTAGGCCAGATCATGGCAATCGCAGATGCTAATCTGAATGAAAATGAACATAAGTGATAGCAATGAAAATTCCACATCGCGGTTCACCTGGGAAGCATGCTCTCGTCGGAAAGAACAATTTCTTTCGGGTTCATGAATAAAACTTCAGATGGACCTTGGGAAGTTCCCTCTTGGCATACGTTCTTTTTATCATTGGAGCTTGGAGTCTCAGATTCTGAAATATTTCCGATCGTCTGTCCTGAAAACACGCCAGAATCTATTTTAGAACACATTTGGCCATAACTAAACAACTATATCCAGTAGATTTGTTATATATCTCTGCAGCAACTAGTAAAAGTTTTACTGTTTTCAGGATATAACTTTCCTTGCCCGGTCATGCAAACTATTTTGTCTTCAGAAGGCACTTTAGATAGCCTCTCCACCAGAAATCTCACCAACTTATATGACTCTTCATCGGAAGGGTACAGAAACTGCCAGACCATTTCAATTACAAGAACTTAATGAAAAATCACATAGCTTTAATAGAAAATCACAACCAGCTTTAGAAGCATGGAAATGTATAAATTCAGAAGAATTTTGATTTACATTTTTTCCATCTCTCTTGGAAATAGCATACATACGAGGTCAGAAAATTATAACGAGAAGCAAATAATAAAAAAGACAAACCGAAAAACAAAACAATTGTGTTGCATTCTTTAAGCAAAAGGTAGGTTTAACCAAGTGAAAGGAATTTAGTTGATTATAATGCTGACTGAATAATATATGTTGCATAAATAAAATTCATATCCCAATAACATTTGAAAAAAAGTAGCCCCTGCAATGTTATCTACTTGCAGATTTATCTATAATTGTTTCATACAGATGTACCTTTAGGTTTTATTTGGTATGATTGGGAGGATGGTGTACTTTTGTTCTGTGGTATGAACAAAAATCATCAGAGTTTCACATATAACTACAAGTTGCTCCATAAAAGAGACCATTTATTCATGAATCATAGAGAAAACAAAAATGCAAAAAAATTGATTTTGCTAGAAAGATTTCCTTTACCAACAAAAAAATTCTTTTCAAAATGTTATGCACATGAAACACACTAAACGTGCTTAAAAAATAGTGCGGCATTTTTATTACATTTTAAGAACATGGAATCAATGAACTGCAACTAAGAAATAAAATTCCAAGCAATTCAATAACAAAAATTTATTTTCAAAGAACCTGACAAATATTCACCCTAGTAAATAGGAATTTTAATGACGTAGGCTTCATTTGATATAGCAATGACGATGACAAACTTTTGTTATGTTTTGCTGTGGTTCCCTCTCACATAGAGGCGGTTCAAGAAACAGTTAAATTAAAATTAAATAAAATAAAAAACAGTTGTGCTTTCTTGCTCGACTCTCCCGCTTCTTTTTTTTTTTTCCCGTGAGAATGCTCTTCCTTCTCTATAGCCAGCAAAGCATATAGATGGCAAAGGATCAGAGGGCAATAGCGTGAAAGGGATCCGGAGTAAGAAGATTTCATTTCTCTTTAATGCGATGAGATTACCAAACCCTTGTGTTTGATGAAGTTGACGTATACCACCTATATGGTGATGGTTGATTATTGATTTTCTCTAGGAGTATTATAGAGAAGAACTTTGTCTACCCATTAAGTTGACAAGTGGAGGTGTTTAAGAGGTCTGCAGGTCCCATGATTTTTACTCTATTTTAGGGGTTTTCCACGCTAAAATTTGGTGTTGTTTATTTTTGTTATTTGTTTCATCAATTTTGTTGTGTGTGTGTGTGTCTGTGGTGTAGTTGATTTTGGCTTGTTTTTCCAACAAGTGATATCAGAGATAGGTTCAACTAGAGATTATTTTGTGCTAACCAAATAGAGGAGTCCGCTAATAACAACAATACAATGATCAGACTGCAGTTTCTCATCACATGAATGTTGTTCAAGAGATATTGAATCAATTAGCAGCATTGGATATGAAGTTAGAAGATGCGGTCCTTGCATTGTTTTGATCATTTTCTTGCCGGAAAGTTTGGGAGACTTTGCTGTTTCTCAGAGCAATTCCACTCCAAATGACATTTTTACCTTGAAGATGGTGAAAAAGAATATTTTGAATGAAAAAAAAAATAGAAGAAATGAGCGAGGGACAATGACACAGAGTCAGATGCTAGTTTCTGAGAAACGAAGCAGAGGCAAGAGCAGAAATCATAAAGATCGTGAAAGCTATGACAGATCACAAGGAAATCTCAGACAAGGAATGAATTCAGATGTTTTCACTGAGATAAACAGAGGCATAAGCGAGCTCAATGTAGACTGTTAAAAAGAGAACATAAGTATAAAAAAAAAGAGTAAATAAAGAGAAATTATGCTAATATAATAGTTGCCGCACATTGAACTGTTACTAGTACTTGTGGTAGCAACATTATTAATCTCACATGTCAAGGTTCACATTGAGTAATTGATTCTAGTGCTTCTTATCATATCACTTCTCGTCGTGATGTGTTTTCTATCTACAACATGGGTAAGTTTGGTTATGTGAAGATAGGGAACGATGCAAGATGAAAAATTGTGGGCATGAGCGATGTCTACATAAATATTGATGTTGGATGTCGATTGTGTCTAAAAAGTATCAGCATATTAGTAAGATCCACTTGAATTTGGTCTCCACTGGTATAATTGATGATGAAAGATACCACAACTACTTTGGTGAAGATAAATAGAAGCTCACTAAGGGGTCTTTGGTGGTTGTTAGAGGAAAGAAGCATAATTCTCTTTATTCAATGGAGGCTTAGTTTACGGAAAGAAGTTGTCACGACTCGGCCCAAAGCTTGGAATTAACCAAGGTGGGTACATACGGTCAGACTGTAAGAATAAAAAATTTCGATGTCCAAATTCTATAACTAATAATTAACAAAATGAAAGGAAAACTAATTAAATTTATTTCATAAACATTACATATATACCTCTATCAAGCCCTAAACACACGCACACCCTAGTTCTACCTCCTATATGAACGGGTGAGCTTCTTCTCGATGCGTGATGCTCGGCTTGACCTCCCTCGCGAACGCATGAATGCACGAATGTAGCCACCAGCTTCTTTCTCCCTTTCTTCTCCTTCGGCCACTCTAGAGGTCCGTTCTTCTCCTCCCTTCTTCCTCTCGACAAAGCAGCTCTTCCCCTTTCTCCTTCGAGTGCGTAGGAACTCCCACACTCACCTCCTCTTCTGCACGACAATGGTGCCACCTCCGCTCAACACTGATGCAAAACTTTCAATTTCTTCTTTCTGTTGACATCGCGGCTCAACTTAATAGTGCAACCCTTAACATCGTTGTTCGACTATCCTGGTAAGTTCTCGCCTCTCTCATGACAAATTTATAGACAAACTTATTTGTTTGATTTTCCGACTTTATCGCTTCTTCTCCTCCTCTTCGGATTTTTTCGTATCCTAGTTTCCACTTCTATGGTTCTTTGTTTCGTATCCTTGGGTAACCGAAACAGGAACGTTACAATCTTTCCCCACTTACAAAAAAATTGTCTTCGAAATTCCCAACCTTCTCGATTCGTCTTCATTTTGCTCGACTCCTAGTTTCCACTTATATGGTTCTTTGTTTTGTATCCCTGGGTAATCGAAACAAGAACGTTACAATCTTCCCCGCTTAGAAAAATCATCTTCAAAATTTATAAACATACCTTAAGCTATTTCTCATAAATAGAGCGATATTTACTATTCATAACTTAGAGGGAAAATTTATCAATATAAAGATAGACTTGATACAAGAAAACTTAACTATACTTCACAACACATAATTATTGAAGCACAAAAGCATGCTAGAAAACATAAAACTAATCAGATCTCATCACCATCAAGTGCATTAGGTTCTTCAGGCTCGCTGTGAGTAAGGGAATATAGTCGAGGTCGAACAGGTATTCGTGGTTAACTTGGGTAGGAGCTGAAGTTGGAGACTCGATCTTTTTTATCCACCTGCATTCTTCTGTGAAGGAGCTCAATCTAATTTTTTATCTTTAATGTTCTTCTCGTCAAGAGATGAACAATATCTTGTTATATGATCAGACTGACAACACCAATAATAAGTATTATAGCCCATCAAACATTCACTTTTATATTGTCTTTCGCATTTGGCACAAGTGACTCTAGTACCCTAAGTCGCTCCTCTGCTAATTCCACTCGACTTATTCTTTTACTTCTTGTCATTGGATTCTTCTAAGTGATCTACATGTTCTCCTGCAGTCTTCCTCTTCTGCATCACTTTACGCTTCCGAGTAAGCTGATAGTCGATCTTCACTCTTCTAGCTCGCCACTAATACTGAGTATTTTGATCCCTAAAGATACTAACGGTTGTCTGATAGAATCTTTTAATCCTGAAAAGAATTTGTAGCACTTTTCTTCTGCAATAGCGCAATCAATTATGGCGCATACCTCAGCATACCTTGATAGTGCAGTAAATTCTACTTCGTACTGCATGACTGTCTTCTCTCCTTGCCTCAACCTAAAGAACATATTCTGAATCTTTCGTTGAGCGGATAGGGGTACAAATCATTGTTTGAATAGTTCATGAATTCCTCCCAACTAACCATCATTATGGGTATGTCCCTTAACCTGTCATGACGTTGCCACCACTTTTTGGCTTTTTCATCTAGCACAAACTTCGGCAACGGTATTCTTCTTTCATCCGAACAAGCCAAGCTATCTAGTATCTCCTCTATCCTCATTAATCAGTTTTCTGCTTCAATTGGGCCTTCAGCTCCCTTGAACAAAGATGGACACGGATCTTGAAATATCTTCAAGTACTTATCCACCACGATTGTATTTCGTCCAATAGGCTGCAATCTAAATTTCTGAATTAGTCGAGTCATTGTCGTCCTCATTTCGGTGAGAACATTCACATTCATATTTCTAGTAGATTGTACTATTTTATTTTCTATCGGATTTTCTTCTTCTATGATTTCGGCCGTATCGCTATGCCCGAATTGATATAATTATTAATTTAAGTTAACTTTATTTTTTTAAATTTTTTTTATTTTTATTAAAATTTTCTTATAATTATTCTATTGGTTCTTTAATCAATATTTAATTAATTAATCTTAAACCTTAGGCTCTAATACAACTTATATGACAACCCGACCCGAAGCTTGAAATTAACAAAGGCGGGTACAGACAATCGTAGTTATGAATAAAAAATTTCGATGTACAAATTCTATAACTAATAATTAATATAATGAAAAAATCATTTGACCCGACCCACAATTACTTGTATTTTTAGTCCCCTTAATCTTGCCAGAAAATATACATCAAATTATATCTAGCGGCTAGTATGAACAATTGTAATGATTTATAATAGGTTTTCACACTATGGGTACTACACATGTAAACGTATCATTTCAAGTAATATAAATTTTTCTCAAAAATCTCAGTATCAATCTCATGATATATGCGGTAACTCTTAAAATCAACTTACAA